GTGTAGACACAATATGTACTATAATTAAATTTCTAGTTACCTCACTCTTGGTCTACTAACTAAGAGCACTCGTGAATATCAAATGGAGCCTCCAATAAGCTCAATGGCATTAACAATGGTCAATCTACAATCAAACATATTAATAGTCATTAATGACTAATTATCCTTAATTAATTGTAATTAAAAGAGTTAATCTATATTCTAGAAAGTTACCATAATTATAAAATATGTCTAATAAATAGATATTTTAACTCTAACCTTAGTAAACTAGTTATAAAGACTACAAAGGTTATAAAAGTTCCTATTATTTAAAATCATAAATAATAAGTTACCATGAATATTTAAATATTTATCTCAACAAACGTCTTGATACTTAGAATTCTATATTAAAATATTTACTTTAAATAGATTCGTTATACAATTTCTATAGTCTTAGGCATCAACTAACAATACCATTTTTGGTCATCAATAATTAATAAACAATTTCAAAAAATCAACCCAACTAACAAATGAGTTCTATACTGGCAAATGATTATTCTGAAAATTAAAATGGCTTTAAAGCTTACTCAATCTAAGTCTCAAGCTTCTGAATGCTTCCTTTTTGCTCTGCTAAGCTTATTGAAAATATTTGATGCTTGAAAATAGATTCATATAATTTATTCTATTTTATATTTGAAAATATTTACATTATTTTAAATCTTCAAACCATCTTTAAAACATTTGATTATACTACTTCATCTTTTTCTCATTCGTCACGTACTAGCTCTCTTACTGCTCATTTGCGTGGTTGCTGGGATGCCTTGGGTAGTTGTCAAATGTATGGTTTGAAAAATCAAATTGGACTAACTGGTTAGATTGATAATTGGTAAATTGGCCACATGTTTGATTCGGTTTGCTATATAGATCAAACGGAGGTTAACTTGGATTAACTTGAATGACTTGGAAAAAAACTCAGAGCAACCATTCAACCCCATGAGTTAGGCGGGTTGGATGGGCACTTTTTTGCCTCCTTCCAAGGCTCTAAAACGACACTAAAAAATGAAGAAGAAGATGATGATGAATAGGAGCAGCAGTGAAGAAGAAGCTAGCGGTGGAGATATGTTGTTTTGTTCCAGTTATAAATGATGAGCAAATCTGAGTAGCAAAACAACTACAAGTTCATGAACCAAGGATAGAAAATAGCAAGAAGCAGATCTGAAAACATAGTATAGAATGCCGAATAGCTATAAGAGGAAAGAGTGGAACCTGAAAACCAAAGCACGGTAAGTAATAGGTGTGGCCTGACTGGCATCCCAAAAGAGGGAAAGGAAGAGATTTTTTTAATTTTCATTTAAAATAAATGATGGTACATAGCGAGCCACATTTAATTGTTTATATACATTATCATAATTAGCATTGGTTATTGAGACTTTTGAGTCTTATTATATGGTTAACAATTTTTAGGAGAAGAGCCACGTGTGGCGTGTGGAGGACTCCTTGAGACTTAATGGCATATATTCCACTGTTCCGTTTGGGTATTTTGATTTATAATTTTTAAGGTGTTATATTGCTAATGCTAAGGCCTTTGTCATTGATAATTACATAAATGAAATGTTGTAATCATACATTCAAACTTTGGTACACTTTAGATGACTGTAACTTGATATTTGATTTATTTTGGATGGTTTAAAATAACATGATATTGGGCTATATAATGAGTTTGTTTTGAAAATTAATTAAGTTATCTATTTTGGTTGTGGGTTCATGGTTTGCACTTGTTGAGAGTATAACGTTAGAAAAATGTGATTTTTGCCTAATGACATGTGGGAGGTTAAAAATTTGCTTGAAATGTTGTATTGTACAAACGTAAGCTAATTGTTACTTGTTTTTATATTTGATTTATTGATATAAATTGTATAGACCGCTGTAACCCAACTATGGTTGTAGATATGTATTAGTAATACCAAAATGATTTTGCTTTATCTGAAAAGATTGATAAGTGGTTATAAAATTTTAATATATATATATATTTTCAATCTTTTTTGAACTGCTTTTATTTTTATATGTGTGTGTTATAATCATCATTATTATTAATGCTTGAAAATAGATTCATATAATTTATTCTATTTTTATATTTGAAAATATTTACATTATTTTATATCTTCAAACCATCTTTAAAACATTTGATTATACTACTTCTATCTTTTCTCATTCGTCACGTACTAGCTCTCTTACTTGCTCATTTGCGTGGTTGCTGGGATGCCTTGGGTAGTTGTCAAATGTATGGTTGAAAAATCAAATTGGACTAACTGGTTAGATTGATAAATTGGTAATTGGCCACATGTTTGATTCGGTTTGCTATATAGATCAAACGGAGGTTAATTGGATTAACTTGAATGACTTGGAAAAAAACTCAGAGCAACCCATTCAACCCCATGAGTTGGGCGGGTTGGATGGGCCACTTTACCTCCTTCCAAAGGCTCTAAAACGACACTAAAAATGAAGAAGAAGAAGATGATGATGAATAGGAGCAGCAGTGAAGAAGAAGCTAGCGGTGGAGATATGTTGTTTTGTTCCAGTTATAAATGATGAGAGCAAATCTGAGTAGCAAAACAACTACAAGTTCATGAAACCAAGGATAGAAAAATAGCAAGAAGCAGATCTGAAAACATAGTATAGAATGCCGAATAGCTACAAGAGGAAAGAGTGGAACCTGAAAACCAAAGCAGCGGTAAGTAATAGGTGTGGCATGACTGGCATCCCAAAAGAGGGAAAGGAAGAGATTTTTTTTAATTTTCATTTAAAATAAATGATGGTACATAGTGAGCACACATTTAATTGTTTATATACATTATCATAAATTGGCATTGGTTATTGAGACTTTTGAGTCTTATTATATGGTTAACAATTTTCAGGAGAAGAGCTACGTGTGGCGCGTGGAGGACTCCTTGAGACTTAATGGCATATATTCCACTGTTCCGTTTGGGTATTTTGATTTATGATTTTTAAGGTGTTATATTGCTAATGCTAAGGCCTTTTGTTCATTGATAATTACATAAATGAAATGTTGTAATCATACATTTCAAACTTTTGGTACACTTTAGATGACTGTAACTTGATATTTGATTTATTTTGGATGGTTTAAAATAACATGATTATTGGGCTATATAATGAGTTTTTTTTGAAAATTAATTAAGTTATCTATTTTGGTTGTGGGTTCATGGTTTGCACTTGTTGAGAGTATAACGTTAGAAAAATGTGATTTTTGCCTAATGACATGTTGGAGGTTAGGTTAAAATTTGCTTGAAATGTTGTATTGTACAAACGTAAGCTAATTGTTACTTGTTTTATATTTGATTTATTGATATAAATTGTATTAGACGGCGGCTGTAACCCAACTATGGTTGTAGATATGTATTAGTAATACCAAAAATGATTTTGCTTTATCTGAAAAGATTGATAAGTGGTTATAAAATTTTAAAATGCATAGCATTTTTAATTTTTCTATTCTATTGTGTTTATCATGTTCTCAAATTCAAAAGGAATCTTTTGGGCCCTTCACACTTATATTGTTCTTAAATGCTTGGGATTTCAAATTTTAGAAATGATAATTTAAGGAGTTAAATTCTACTTACTATAATAGTATTTATTTATTTATTTATTAGTTTAATCTTTTCTACCATGGTAGTCATTTTAAAAGGAAAATATTTTATAAGATTATGTTTTATCATTTCCTATCATGGTGTAGTGTTTTAAATTATAAAATTATTTTAAAAAAATATAGGATAAGTTAACTTTTGTTTACCATAATAGACACTTTTCTACCATAGTTGAGATAACTATTTTGAAAAAAATTATATGGTGTTACATATTTATGCCCTAGGGTATTTGAGATGTAAGGATATTGTCTATATAAGTCCAAAATAATAGTCCAAGTAACGACATGTGTAATTGATTGAAAATGATGATTATTATATTACTTCATAAAAATTTAGCTCCCCCTCATGCTTTGTGTTCAATGGGTTAAGCAATAAAAAATTGATTTATGTGTGTTGAGTTAGTTGTGGTGTGTTGCATAAGTCTTTTATAGTATTTTGAGTGTGGTCCAAAAATTGGTGTGTAGACTTTTGGCACTTGCATTGTAAAATAGATACCCTAGTAGTTTTGTAATGAACGTCTAATTTTTGATTGAAAAATGATTTAATTATGAAATTAGTATCATTAGTTAGAGTTAAGAGAAAGTTCACTGTAAACACCTAAATCACCTCAATTGGATGCCAAACGGAGAATCGGGGTGTTAGAAGTTCGCCCAAGAACTGTCATATGACAGTTCTTTGCTTTCAAAATTCATGCACTACATCGTGGTGCATAGTGCTTTAGCCATGGTGCATCATGTCATTTGCTGAAAAAGTTTTCAACTTCCTTTGCAAATGCTAAATTACAAATTGGATTTACATGTTTTTGTAAAGATGTTTGTCTCTAAATTTTAAGTAATACGAGTGCTGTAGTGTTTTGAATTATGAGAACTTAGGATTCTGACTTTTGAAAATTGCACTAGTTGGTAATTTTTATGATTAGCCTCATGATCATTTTGAACTTAGTGTTAAGGGTAGATTAGTAAGGGTAGCATTACTTATTTACTTGGAGATTTTACAAGATTCATTTCCCTTTTGTTGCATGAAAAATCATATTGAAAATTTTGTAGCAACAATCAGAACTTCAAATCCATAATAGCAACCCAAAAGAAAATATGCTAAAATAAAGGCATATATTTTTACAAGAACCTGACAATCCTATCAATGAAATATTTACACATACAAATCAACCTAAAATTGACCCCAAATATTAAACATTCTTGGAATTCCCACTTTTCTCCTCATTTTCAACTTAATCATATTGATCATTATCATTAAACTTTGAAACATGAGCATACCCAAGATAGAAGCTTGTGTTGGTGAACTAGCTTTTGTTGTTTCTTAGCCTATTAGGAAAGCTTGAAGAGACATGCAATATTAGAGAACCTGGCCATATTCCATCCACTCGCATTCTTGAGCTATTAGTAGTGTTTATTATTGGAGAAGCAATTGAGTCAGAAGTAATTTCTACATGCAATGAAAGTCATGATTATGTTAATGCTAAGTTAACAAATAAGTTTAACAAATCAAATATAAGAGGAAGTATCTTTTGATTACCAAAAGATGGAATATTAACATGCTTAAACCTTATATTCTTTGTTGTTGTTGAACAAGAAATGTTTATAGCAACAGGAGCCACAAAAGGTTCTATCTCCCATGGAGAAACCCTTTGTGGCCTTGGAATTGTTGCAAGTTCATCCCATTGAACCTAATATATAGGAACCCAACATGGATGTTTAAAATGAAGATAATACAATAGTCACATAAGCATTGTTAGACATCTACTACTCTTATTCTATTTATAAAGTGTTTTACATGAAGACAAACAATAGTCCTATTTATAAGGTGTCAAATAAAATAATAATAATTTTTCAATTATACCTTTTAACATAAGAAAGAATTTGCATAAATAACAAGGTGACTCATTGTCTACCTTTGATTAATAAAGGTAAAAATGAAAAGTTATGATGTCTTTCAACAAATAACGTAACATAATAATTTTTCTTAAAGTATGTGAAATGTCTCAAACACATTATAAATAAGTCAAGAAGGGGTTATTTAGAGCAATGTCAAACCTTTAATGATCTCCATTTTGAGTTTGGCCAATCTTGAGAGAAATCCTCAACAGCAACAATAGTACCTTAAGTACCTTACCAAAAGAATCATATAATATTAAAATACAAATCTTGAATGAAACAAGAGACTCTCAAACTATGATATTAGTTTACTAGAATACCATATCTCAAGTAAGTTTTCTCCCTCAAATCTCATCTTGAATCGCATACTAGCATAAAACTTATTGTTCACTGCTTCTAAATATTTGTTCAAACGAATTATGAATTGGCCAATCCTGAATTAAATAGTGGTAAAAAATATGTTATATTAAAATATACTAATAATTTTGTGTATAGTTATACAAATCATGATGTTCCATAAGGCTAACCTTGGTTTGTAATGGACTATAAATATGGTGCCAGTTATTACAGAATGTGAAGTAGGAGCTAGAACTCCTAGATGTACATAATGGCCTGGAATAATAGATAAATGAATATGGATTTGTTGCCTAGATGGACGCCTAATACCACACCATAAGTCCTTATCATTTGCTCCCCTATAAAGATCAAAATTAAACTATGAAGAATCATTAAACAAGTCATAACATAACATACAAATACCAACAACATTAAGTACCTTAAGAATTAAAAAAGCATCTCCTGCATTCAACTTTTTGAATGAGATAAAGTTGCTCCACCCAGTTGTAAGAATATGCCTCCTTGATTGTGCTAATTTTTATAAAAAGGAAAAAAACAAATTAAGATGAGATCATATTCCGTAGTTTTTATCCTTACTTATTTTACACAATCTTTATTTAAATATGATAAATTACCTTTGTATATGTGCCTAAACTTCCATTCAAACCCATGTAGATCCCTAACAACCACCTCTTGAGTTGGAGTTTTTTGAGTCATGTCCTATATAATAGAGAGTAAGAGTCAATTGACAATAATGAAAAGCTAGATTCTATAAAACATTTTAATCTTACTTCCATTGAAAGAAACCATGATAGGAAAATACCAATTGAGGAAGACACTCAATGTCATGATTTTATAGCACTAAAAGTCTTCTATGTTTGCTAGTATCAGAGGTCGTAATAGATCTGGACATCTTAAAAAATGAGTAACTTGAAATTTTATAAACATTATAGTGAGCAAAATTCAATTTATGTTTTTCCCTTTTATTCTCTTAAAGTATAAAAGGCAGAATACATAAAAATTTCTCACTTCTAAGTTAGGAAGCAAAGTGATTCGTGCATATACCTCATCAATTTTTGGTTCAGCCTACAAAATAAGTAATTCCATGATAAATACTCATAAAAATAAGCCATTTTATAAACAAAATAAAATAAAAAAAGAAATCAAACATTAGTAGTACCAAAAGCTGAATGTCCAAAACTTTACAAAGAATTTGGGAAGGAAGATTAAAATGAGGAATCCCTTAATCAAATTCTTCATTTGTTAAAAATTCAAACTACATAAGACAAAGCAAAAAGTTTTTATATGTAAATAAAAGGGGAAAAAAGATATCTCAACCAAATTTGAAAGCGATTATGACATGCATGAGAGCAACGAAATATTTACTCAATATGGCCTTGGGGAAAATAGAGAAATCTCTCCCCCTTTTGGGGAATATCAACTAAGGGTCTAGCACATAGCTTCCATATTTCTTTGTATAGATCTTCTTTTCTTAAACCTACCAAAGAAAAGTTAAATTGATAAGTGAGTGTAAACTTATATCCTTTCATAATGGCTATAGAGTATGAAAACAAAAGAAATATAGTTGAAGGAATTATTATGCTCTGTATGGCTTCTAAGTAATGTGAAGGGAAACCAAATGAAGTTTCTTGTCAAGCTTCCCTTTAAGCCTAGCATATAAAAGGAGATACAAAAAAATGTTGTCAAATGTTACAAAAAAAAATCTCATGGTTGTTAGCAAATATCTCTCTATTTCACAAGAACATTAGTAAATGCTAAAAATACACGCACTTCCTTTCTTTGCTTAGCATCCCAAGTAACCAAATATACATAGCAATTCATCCAAAAAATTTCAAGCCATTGACTTATTTCCCCATAAGAAGTTGTTTGACTAGCTTAGCGTTCTTAGTAAACTGCTATAATAAATTTTGCTATGGCAATTGTGAATAACTGAATATGCCCTCCTTTTTTTCATTATTTTCTTTTACTCCTTTTCACATATATTTATTGCTTCAATTTTAAATTACATAAGCAAGGTTTGTCGCTTTCTCTTTCTAGTTAAGTTTTTCTCTCATATGCTTCCTTTTGGCCTTCATTTTTTTTTTTTTGCTTCAAAGCTTCCCTATCTCTCTAATCTTCTCATTTGAACCTGATCTTGTATAAGCCTATGTACTAACTAGCTTATACATAATTGTTCTTGGCTTGCTTAATGGTCATGGATGGAAACCAATTATAAACCCTCTTACTAAAGTGTTTTCTTAGAATTGCCTCACTAAAGATAATTATTATTAAAAGATTATATACCCCTACAAAATGAAACAATTTAAAGAATATATATCCCATGGAACAACAACAATAAAACATCAAAAGTAAGATCTGATCTTATATGGTAGAGTAAAAGAGCATTATGTTTGCAACATGATATTGGTAGCAAATAAACAAAATTGTGTAATACCTTGTGTAATCGACATGGATCATCTCAATGGTCTAAATATACTTTATAATATCTCAATTATGATGAATCGAGATCTTTTAAAACTAATAGGATGGTCGAATGGCTACTTTGTTAGAACATCTTTAAAACCACCATTTGAATATTTTTTAAAATAAGGAAAAGGGATGATAAATTGAATTTTTTAAAAAAAAACTTGTACTATGTGATAATGAGTATTATCTCCAAATTGGAAAAACACGAACCATAGTTACAACATCTTCAATGCAGTGAATTAGTGTTTTTATTTTTGGAAAGATGATGCTCACACTAAGGGTGATTTGGTGAAATCCTCCTTATATGATATTGAATGTTGTTATTAGGGCTTTTTTTAAAGGCGACGCTTATGAGAAATGGTCTTTGAATGAAATCTTTCTTGTGAATATGGTGAGTTATAGGGTTTTTTTTTGAAAGGTGAAGCTCTGGTTGAAGGTTTGAGAGAATTCTTCCTTAAATAATGCGAGTAAAGTTTCTCCTAACCATCATTTTTAATGCTCAAATTAAAATGTTAATGCACCTAAATTTAATGCATTTAACATCAACTTTAAAGTTGGTGAAAATTCATTGCTTATGACGTAATTTATGATTTGATATAATAAATATGAATTTGAATATTCATGGCGCTTAAATATGAAGGGATTCAATGTCCCTTAATATGTGTTTGGTTTTCCATATTTTGTTCAGAAACTTGTTACAAATGTTTTTTTTTTGTAACTTTCAAGACAAAACTACTCTTACAATACTTTTTGACCAAAATCGACATATCTTCATATAAGCAGTAGACGCAATCAAAATTAGAGCTAAGGAAATAGGATCAGCCTAATAGGCCAACTGTACTATTTAACATAACATCCTCAAACTTTTAAACTTGAAATTCAAAGTGTAAGTAAGGGCAAATTGGTAAATTTGGGTAATTAATAAATTAATGATGTTTTCAAACTACTAATGAGATTATTGGATCATTGGACAACTTTAAAAGTGGGATAAACTGGCTGAAGTGGATTGGGTATCTAGTAAGGCCTAAAACTTATTTTGAATTACTACATCATCCGCCATGATAGATATGTAAAAATATGAATTTATCATATGCTGCACGTTAGAATAGAGAAGGAGAGAAGAGAGAATGAGAAGGGCAATAGAGAATGACCTTTTCTCTACTATAGTTCTACTTTTGGACCTATTTAGAGGCATTCTAGGACAATAATGCATATTGGTAAACTTCCTATCTATTCTCCTTCTCCTCTATACGAATTTTCAGTAAGTTTGGGTAGAATTGAGTGTTGATTTCATTCTCCCTTAGGTTTTGACTGTACCTATTATGTTCTTTAGGTCCATAAGGAGTTAAACTAAGCTTCTAAATCAAAGTTTAAGGATTTTATTGTAATTTAAAATTTTAAGCTAGAGTTTAGACTAACTCTAGGATTAAATTTGAATATTGGAAGTGATATGGGTAGAAATTTGATATTATCTAAGTTTATATATATTAAATAGGACTAAGGAAATATTTTAGGAATGTTGATTATGTTAAATAAGAAATTTGGCTAATGTGGGTACCTAAATTTAGGCTGAAAGAGTGATTATTAGAGTTATAAATTGATGATTAGTTTTTAATCTTGTAAATTAAATGTTGATCAGACCTCTTTGAGGATAACAGAGTTTAAAGGATTACTAAATTGCCATGGTAACCTTTTTATGATAAAAGGGTTGAGGTAACTAGATAATCTAATCCTTTTACTTGTGTGATTGGATAGTTATGAGATTTGTGAAAGTATGTGTTATTGTTTTAAATTAGTGTTACATTAAGATGAAGGTTTGTGTGTGATTTGGAAACTATGTGAAGTAGATATTACACACACAAACACACACATACACACATTTAAAATATTATTTTTATGTCAAAGCCATACACACACACACACACATGTTTAAAAGGTTGTTTTTCCATGTTAGTGATTGAGTTGGGACTATCCATTATATAAAGGTGATTGTTTGATGAGACCATGAGGATGATCATTATGAAAGGGTGATAGTTCACCCTAATATTGTAAGGTTGTATTGTTTGAAATCTATGTGGTACACTAATACATTAGAGGCCCTGTGCTCAATTTTCTTGTTTGAAAGTCCCAATACTATCTTGGTGATAGATTGGGCATATGACACCCCGAATATTCAAAAAAGGGAAAATCTGTGGTCTAAAAATAGGTGAAGGTGTCTTTGGTTGGGTTGCCTCTCATGATTGGTGACCTTAGACTAATTTATTCATATGGACTTGGTCTTATTATGTTGTTAGCCCATAAAGGATATAAGGTGGAGAATGTTAATCATGCATTGTATGAATGAAATCTTATATTCAAGTGTATGATATGTATCAAAATAACTTGTTTTATTTAGGACTTTCACATGATAATATATTGTTCTAACACTTAGTAAATAGATTAGGTTATTTAGTTATTAAGACATTGTCTCACCTCTGTTGTTATATTTTACATGTGAAGGCTTTAATAGGGGCAAAGAGAAGAATGATACTACTGGGAATTGAAGAGTTTGTGATTGTGTAGTGTTAGTGCTCTGCAAGTGTATGGGTCATAGCAAATAATATAATGAAAGTAAAGTATTGTTTTCATGGAGATTTGTTTAAAAATGATGATCAAGTAAAAGACTAAACTAATTCAATTAAGTTGAAACATAATTAGGTGAAAAAGTTGATTTTGCAAACTAACCTAACACTAGAAAATAAAGAAAAACAATTGATTCATAACTTCAAGTACATAATGGAATCTAGGATTATTTATCTTCCTTATATCTCATAATACTAAAATTACCTCCTCTCACAAATGTGTTTAATGAAAATAAGTGTTAACCTATGGTTCTAAAAATATCTAGACAAGCTCTCGCAAGTCATGAACAAGTATTTAGTTAAATTAATTACCCAATCTCTTATTACAATTAATAAAACTCAATTTTAAATATCAACCCTAATGTGGCTATACAAGGCTAGCAAGTGTATATCTTAATGGTCAAACTATCCATTTAACATGCAAATATCAAGTTCTTCCACTATTATACCCACATTCAACATCAACTTGGCCCTCTTAAGCATCAATCAAGTAAACTCAATATCTAAATAGTGATCAATCACTTAGAAGCACTAAGAAAAAAATAAAATAAACACACACATACACACCCCATCAATCATAAAAAAAGAAGAACTTAGTGTTAATCCATACAAGGGTTCTAAATAATCTTATAACAAAAAGTTTAGCTACTCATTAGCTTTCACAAATCATAAATACACAAAATATTTAGACCCATTTTAGATCACAAGGGAGAAAAGGGAAGAGGAATAAAAAGCAAAAGAATATGAGCTCTAAATGTCTTTAAAGATTTGGGCTAATTAAAAATTGAAAAGATTTACAATAAAAATTAGAGTAGTAAAGGAATGAAATCACCAATCACGAGAGTCAAAAGAGTAGAGCTTGACATGAGTGATTTATCCTAGTTCGACTTTTTATCACTTGAGTCTACGTTTAGTCCTCAGGAACCTCTTAAGATTTCCAATTATATCACAAAGATTGATATGGGCTCTTGGTTGCCTCAGTACATTCATAGACCTCACAATAAGTCTAAAACTCTCCCCCTTACAAAGGTAATGATAAATTCCCTTAAACTCCCTGAGTTTAAGTTCCTCTATTTTGAAGATGTAAAACAAGAATAAATAGAGTAAATTCAAGAATGAACTACTATTGCTTTTAAACTCTCTTTAAGAGTAATATATGATCAATGAAGCTCTCTAACAATAAATGATACATAGAACGTAGGTAAACTTTAATGCTTAAGTAATTACAGAATTTTCTTGTTAGCTTATATTGTTCATTCCTTTTAAGGTTTCATAAATGAGTCTATTCATAATTAAGGATCATAAATGATCTGTTAGACTCATAAATTTTTTTGTTAAAGGTTGCTTGTAATTTGTTTGCTTCTTTCCTTCAAGTTTCCTTGGAAATTCAAGCTTATCTAAGGTTCTCCGATGGATGAAGTAATGGAATAGTGCTTTACGACAGAGACTTTCTCTTTTGTACAATAATAGTTAGAAACATTAAATGCTTCTGACAAAAGTGGTTAAAGCTTATATGTTTTGGTATAACAAAAGGCAAACTCGATGAATTAATGAAAGATAAGCAATTTGAATAACTTTAAGCAAATAATTATGTGTAAATACCATTGAGTAAAGATATAGAGTGAACACAATTGATTTCGGATAAAAAGAAAGATTGAAAGATGAGTTTTGGTGAGATTTAAAATTGACACGAAAAACAGAGCATGAAAATGCAGGGTAGTACCGGTGTTATAATGTTCCAACATCAATGTTACTGTGATGAGTAGACTTTGATTAAAGAGCTTAGCACATGTGTTGTTCTAATAGTGCCGGTGTAATCCATTATCATAAAAGACAAAGATTTTTGACAATTTTGAGTGAATAAAGATATTTTTAAAAAGATAACTCAGCATTGGTGTTAAAAGAAAATAATACCAAAGTAACATGATCAGTCAAACATCTTTGCAAGATAATAGAAGAGATAGTACCGGTGCTATACAGTCAGCACTAGTATTACAGATAATTGTTCAAAAATAGTACAGGTGCTAACGAAGAACACAGGTGTTGTTTTAACTCAAACAAGAACATAGAATGAACAAGATTGATATTAAATAGATAGTACCAGTGTAAAGAAAAAAGTTCAAAGAGACAGAATCAATTGCATAAGTTTAAAAGGATAACATTGGTGTTAGAAAAAAGTAGGACTGGTGTTAAATGAAACATGAACTAATAGAGCAATGAAAATAATTCAAGCAGCATCAGTGTTAAGCTTTTAGTACCGATGCTAAGAACACTTAGAAACAAAATAGAACAAGATAGCATCACGCACATAAATTATAGCTAAATCAAATACTTAAATAACAAAGAGATATTTGGATAAAAGA